TTTTCAATATGTAATCGATTAAAATCACATTTTTTCCATCTTTTTTTTTCTACATGGGAAATACTGTGAATAATGAAGAACATTTCTACATTTGAAGATGATGAAGGTATAACTCTTCTCTTCATCAACCCCATTCAGATCCTTAGAGAGTGCGGTAAAAGCAAGTTCTTGTTTATTAAATTCATTATTTGTGAGAAATACTAGTTTGTTAATTTGTAAATATTTTCTTAAGAAACGGATAGCGTCGAATAATCTCTTTATTTGTTTCAAGGCCATCATTGATCAATCCTTTTAAATTTGTTTTTAGTTGTGTGAAGGAATTGTAATTGTAGAAATTCTTTGCTATCAGATACTTTGCCCAATATTCAGCTGCTAAATCTGCATTTATGTTAGCATAATGATTATTAATTCTTTGCTTCAAGGCATAAATCTGATGAATTATTCTTTCTGGTGGAAATGCTAGATTTAACACCGAACCAGAAATTGCTTCAGCAGCATGGTAGATATTGGGATCACGATTCGGTGGCCAAGTCATGGTCACTCTAGAATTTGAATCAACTGCTATCCAGTTATCAAAGAAAATGAATTTACGATTCGTCAAAGAAGGAATATCAGATATTTGAATGGATGATGGATTAATTGCTGATCCAGTAACAAAAAATCGAATATTCGTTGGAATTTCATTCAAAATAGCAAGTTGTTTGCCCCAATCGATGTTTGTAGAGCTAGATATTTGTGATAGAGAATAATAAGAAGGAATAATACCAATTAGTTCAATGTTTGTCACTTGATTCACAAGGGCTTGTATGAGATCTCTTTGTAATTTCATTTGTGCATTCGTACCAGCACCAGGTGAATCATCCCAACATAAAATATAGTAACGAATACCAACTGAAGCTAATTGTTCTAATTTCAATTGAATTGTTTTCAATGATGTTTGGACATTCTCGATCCATTGAGGTCGTAAGCCGAAAACAATTGAAACATTCGAAGCCTTAGAAATAGTATCCGACCATTCTATAACTTGCTGTGCATTCCATAGAGTCATTGTAAATGCATCGTTTCCAGTTTCGTGAGGACAAAAAATATAATAATTTAAACCTTCATCCATCAGTGAAATCAAATTATCACGTTGTTGTTTCGAGTAGAAACTGGCCTGACCTTGAACTGCATTCGAATTCGACCAATAAAATCCTTCGATTAATCCATTGATTTCCATATCTGGAGATATTGACATTATGGATGCAGCCATTAGAATAAAATCTAATATCAGAAATCTAATATAATAATACGAAAAATTGGAAAAGTTCTTACATAAATAAATGAAATTTCTGTATTTAATAAGCATTGTTTGTGAAACTGAAAAAGTCGAAAGTATTGTGAATCAAAAATAAACAAAACAATCTAGAAAAAACAATTGTTGGAAAATTTTATTCATAGTGGCATAACCAAAAATTTAAGCGTGGGGCTCAGCTCTCCTCCAGCCTGTTTTTGGCCAGAGATTGTATGTGGACACTGGCTTAAGAAGAAGGATCTGCAAAATCATTTTTTTTCTATTTTAGTCCCGATGAAATTGTTTTGGTCCGAGTCCCGTTTCCGATCGAAACTTTGTATTGTTTTTGGTCCTTTTTTCTTTAAACAAGTGATTTGTTTTGTACAACTAAGCCTCAATATTTAGATTTACATTTGCATCCCTAATACAGAAACAACACTAAAGAGTTCATGATAGAAATAGGAAAATAACGACCAAAAATAATGCGTAATAAAAAGAATAGTTAAACTGCTATCGAACCAAATTGATTTATATTGTACCAATTTGTCTATTTAAAAGTTTATATAAGTTATCGAAAAAACTCAATTTTTGAAATCAGAATCGGGATCAATGAAAGACTTTTATCAGAGTTATAAATGAAAATGGTGAATTTATAGATTCTTAGTAATAACAATACAATAAATATGACAAGGTATATTCTAGCACTTGATAAAGAAAAATATGTTTGGACTAGCTTGAAAAGTAATCAGTTTCGATCTTGATCCCAATAGGACTAGAACCACTTTCCAGATTTCTACACTGACTATCCTAGATGTGTAACTAGCTATTTCATATAAAAGAAGAAAATATCATGAAAACAAAAAAGATAATTATTTATTTGAGCATAAGCCGACTACTTTTATAAATCTTTGAAAAATCATCAATTAGTTGCTCAAATGGATCAACTAATGGACAACTAATATCAATAGGTAATAAAGATAATATTAAGCGTGTTGAAAGCTCTGGTGAATAGTGAAAAAGATTGTGGTAGTGGATAAGCTAATGGGCGACTAATATGAATAGGTATTAAGAATCATGATATTAATAGTGTTGATAATCTTGATACTGACGACGTTGATGATATATTCGATGTTAATAATGTTGATATGAATTGATCATGTATAGCAGTTATATCAGCATAGATATTGCTAGTTGAATCAACCGTAGTCAACAGATTTGATGTTTCAAATAAAATAAATCGTGCTGATATTTCTATAGATGTGGATGAGGAGTGTAGTTTTTGACAATTTGTTTTTTTTCAAATTATTCTTAATATTTCTCAAGAAGCATGAGTCATAACAGATAACAAAAGATACTGATTAGAGTTTTTAATATCTAATGATTGCAAGGATAAAAAGATGACACTACTTAGTGAAGAATATTCACAAGAAAATTAAGATTATTTTTGATTGTCGCTGTTAAAATCTCTTTTTTTGACTGACCTCCCACTTTTTGCAGAAACCCGATTGAAATTCATTAAAATCAATAAATCAGTTGAAAAAATAATCTACTTCACTTATTATTCTGTATTATATCGCCTCTAACCCAATTTCCATCGACAATTGAGTTTATTCTCTTTAATCGATTAAACAGTGTGGATATGAGTGTAGGTATTGATGACGACAAGAGACATACCCATATCCTATCACATTTTATAAAGAAGTGTCCGCTCTACAAAATCATCACGTTCAATAGTTTTTAGCACCTTCGCATAGGGACTTATGGCGTTAAGCAAAAACCTGTTTGTTCATTATCAGAACCGATTTTTCAGGACTTTCAAGGATTCCGTCACTGTTTTTACAAAAACAGACACAACATGTTTGAGTCCATTGTTAGAAAGAGCATAAAACTCCGATTCTAAACCAAAGTTTTTCATTTATCTGAAATATTTTTCAGGAGACCAAACCTAGATATAATATTATCCAGAAACTCCGGTTCATCCGCCTTGTTTAAACTATTTTTTTAGACCTTTAAAAGTTTCCCTCACCTACTATCGAGCAAAAACAAACACAAAATTTCTAAAATCGTTATTGAAAAAAACACAAAATAATGCTCATAAACTGTAGTTTCTCACTAGTCCAGATTACTTTCAAGCAAGTCCAAAATAGACAAACATTCTATTCGGAAACTTTTGCACTACCTGCTATTATATAGTTAACAAACATGAGAAAAAAAATTCTCTTGCTGCCATTAGGTGCAGTGCACATGTCTGATGCAGATTTTATTTGAATTCCTTGGAACGTCCTAATGTTTTTTTTTCTCAAACTTTGAAACTAACGTAAAAATAATGATTATTATTCAACTTACCTGTAATGTCTCATGTTTTGTATTGATTTTGTATAAGCCAGGTATTAATTTATATAAGTCCTTGACTTATTGTTTCTTTTTTTTCTTATTTTTTATCATTATTATTTCCACAGTCCTCTGTACTATAGGGACCAACGAAAACGGTCGATAGTAAATAACAAAAAGAAAAAAAGAAACAAAAGAAAGAGAAAGAAAGAATAAGCATGTTTGTCTCATTGCTCATTCCTTTATGTTACGCATGAATTATGCAACCATATGAGTTGTGTTTATCAGCATTGTTTTATGTCTTTGATCGTATAAATATGTTCTACGGCATACATTCTTCTGATTAATATGCTAATTATCTTCGTTGATGGATAGTTGTATCAGATAGTTTTGTCTCTTTCGGCTTTCTACTTCGCTCGAAAAATTTCCCACGAGGTGTACTCGATAATTTGTGCAACGCAGAGAAATGTTATGTTTCGATTAAAGCGACGAATGCGTATATGAGAAGAAACAAATAAGAAAATGATTGTTCGAATGCATCTGCAGTACAAGAGTTCCAAAGAATAATGAAGCATCATTTTCGACACCTACTCACGTTTTGTTTTTTAATAACATATCAATTGATCGAAAAAATCGACTAAAATTCTAATGTGCAAGAGTGGCATTGTTGAAAAAAAGCACAGAAAACTGAGTATTACCTTAAAATATGAGTGCAGGATATGGTATAGTCCCAAGCAAAATTTTTTAAAATATTATTCCCTCCAAGAAAGTATTTTTGTTTCGTTCTTGCAGCTACGATGATATATATATATACACTCACCTATGAGAAAGTGAAAAGAAAAATTGTTCACATGGATGATGACAAGGATGAAAAGCTAGTAAAGTTATTAATAATAATAAATAGAAAAACTCTATTCAAAATAAACTAAATAATCAATAGTACAAGTTTTGATAGAATGCAAATAAGTTTTCAGGTTCAGCAGCTTAGTTCATAGTTATAGTATGATTTATTCTCTCAATTAATTTACACTTTATTTATCTCAAAAGTTTGAAGTTATTCACTTTTATGTCAAAAAACTCAACAACTAAAACATGTAGGAACCACCATAATATTATATAACATGCCATCCACGCAACAAGAATCATCAGATGGTGCTTGTCTAAATTCAAAATGTAGAAAAGCATATGATCATAATTATATTTACTACATGAAGAAACCACAAAATCAATATTCAATTTGAAAAAAGAAAGTTTCCGTTGAATGCATTTCTGTAATCATTTTTCGTTAGAAAAGAAGAAATCTTTCATTCTGAATCAGCAGATCACTTGAAAAACAAGTCTTCACATATTTGTCTGCTTGATGATACGAAATAGATTGCATACAAC